GGTCCTGGTAACATTTTTAATGTGGGGGTTAAAAGACATCCGGATCAAAAATAGCACCAAGATTATTAAGTAATTATTAATGCCATTCAGAGGAAGTGAAAGGCTGCAGAGTTTATTCCTAAGCTGTTCAGGTCCAAAAACCATAACCTCTGTCTTATCTGAGTTTAGAAGCAGAAAGTTAAGAGCCATTCATGTTTTTATGTCTGTAAGACATGCTTGTAGTTTAAGTAACTGGTTGGATTCATCAGGTTTCATGGATAAATATAACTGAGTATCATCAGCGTAACAATGGAAATTTATCTCATGCTGTTTAATAACTTTACCTAAAGGAAGCAAATACAAAGTAAAGAGGATTGGTCCAAGCACTGATCCAAGTTTTGTCATTGTTTCCTTTGCAGGTGAAGGTAGAAAGTGTGTGAGCTGACGTGGATTCAGTGAATTCAGAAGCATGGATCAGTGTGAGGACAGAGACGAGGGAGCCCCTCCCTCTAAAATCACTCAAAGGTGAGAGTCCCACCTCTACCTGTCCACTACTCTGCTCCACGCCACAGCTCAGCATCAACACTGATTTTATTCACAGGAGTGGACTTGGACCAGGACCTGGACCAGAAACCAGCTGTGTGTCATTTAGGAGGGACTGGTCAGAGGCTCAGATGCTTGTAAACGTCAAGCAGCAGGGCTCAGAGGCTCCCAGGTCTCAGTCCGCCCAGCAGCAGCATCAGACTCACCTGGACTCCATGTTTCTGGTGCGTACGTGTCCAACAGTGACGAGGAGTGGGGCTGGGCGATATGGTCTAAAATCAATATCACGATATCACGATATATTGAGCATTTCGGTTAGGAACCGTGTGTAAGGAAGAAGATGAGTTTGAACTGCTTTTCTGTTACATTTATCCCGTTTCAGATTTTTTCATACATTAAATTAAAAAAAACTTTCTTGGTAAGACTTTTGGCAGATGTAGTCATACAAACATTTAACCACCAAAAAAGATGCAGCTTGACACTGACTGACTTTTATTGTGAAAAATTATGCAGTGTAAATATTTTTGGTCACAAATTAAAAACAACATGTGACTCTGTCACAAACAACATTGTCAGATTGTACACAATCTGTTAGAGTTCAGTGTGTTGGGATTACTGTTAGCTACTGCCACACCATATTTTAGCTCCATATCTGTCAGCCTGACTGAGTTACAGACATTTATTGGTTTTCTGAAGTGGATCAGCTGTCGGCCACTGGCTTGACTTTGAAAGGTTGTTGGTTTTTGAAGTGCTTCTAATGACTGCATTCTGAGATTTTCATTAAAACACATCCACTGGCTCATCAGATATTTAGCTAACAGACAACAAAAACAGCAGTTTTGCAGTAGCTGACAGTCATCCCCAACTTATACTTGAGCTCCAACAGGTCGGCCAAAATCTTTGCTTCAAACATGAATGTTAGGAGTCGACCTGATTCAAGATGGCTGCCACTGCTGGACTTTAGCAAAGACAAAGCTGTCTCTAACTCCGTTAGGTTTTTTCAGTCAGGGTCAGATTTATAAAGTTTTGCGTGGAAACCATACTAAAAGTGAACGTACGGCCAAAAGGCGAAAATGGCGTACGCCAAAAAAAAATTTCAGATTTATAAAAGCATGCATACGCATGTTTCTGCACACCTTTCTTTTATAGATCACAGCTGCACCTCAGAGTTTGCGCACGAGGTCCCGCCTCAGGTTCTACCCTCTACACGCCCACACTCAACCATAAACTGTCAATGTAAAACACCTCATGAATGTTAAGGTGTATTTAAATCAGTCAGCTGATTTAAATACAATGCTCTTTTTTTTTGACAATGATCAGTCAGCTGATCATTGTCAAAAAAAAAAGCATTGGCTCAGACACGCTCCGTCATGCTTCTGGAGGATGACAGGTGCTGACAGCTGCTCACATGAACAGAATGTCTAATTTACACAGATTTTCCCTCATTTTGCAGGTTTACAGACGTTTAGAGCAATCTAATGATTTTTTTTTTTTTCAAAAACTCAGCTTCAAATTAATTTTCTCTCTAGGGATGGTTACTTTTTGACATTTGAATCGATTCGGTACCAATATTCGGTACCTGGGAATCGGTACCGGTACTTAATGGTACCAATTTTCGGTACTTTGTGTGGTTTTTTTTAAATTATCAACTTTTTTTATTTTATTTAACATATTTATCAAGATATGAAATTTAACAAATATCAAGACAACATCCAACTCTTTGTATTGTAACATCAGTTGTTTAATTTCTTTAAGGTGAAAACTCTTGAAGACAACGTGACTGTTTTGTCTTATTGCACAAATTAAAGTCCAGCTCCATGTATATCTATTGATGTCATTTTCTCGCTARAAAAATTGTGTGATGGAGGTCCATGGAAGGCAAATAAGTTTAAATCAAATAAGCAAAAGAGGATTGAGTTAAAATAAACAAAAGCTAAATCAAGCTAAATTTTGAGCATCCAAAACGCGTCCAACGCTTCAAGCTGGCTGCTTGTGCTCTTTCAGGTCAGATGCGTTCGGACTGTCGGGAAGCTCCTCTGTTGTTTTCCTTTGCCGGTCTCTGTTTAATGGTGGATGAAATAAAGAAAGTGGCGGTACTTTATTTATTTTGAGCAAGCAAACGTCATGTTCAGCAGATAGTTAATCCACCAGATAATTCAGAGGTGGTCTGTTCGGTGAGTTTTACTCCAGGAGCTKCGAGGCTTTCAAGCTACGTTCAGACTGAACTCTGTTTACTGAACCAGCGGCTGCTGACGTCATTACGCTCTTGCGCAATGCTGYGTTTATGACAAGCATGGAAAATCACCCACTCTTACACCAATACGATCGCAATTATCCGTTTAGGTACCGAAACATTGTACCATTTGATGTTACGTGAATAGGTTCTCGGTAGTACCAACAGAATTCAGTTGGTACTTTAAAAAGTATCGAATTCGGTACCCATCCCTATTTCTCTCAGAGCCTGCAGGACGATCAAAACAATAAATAAAATTAAATAAGTCAGATAAATGTAGAAATAATCAGGATCAGTTTTATTGCCATTGTCAATGAACAGGATTCGCAGGTGGGATAAAACCAAACATTCAAAGGTTTTCATGACTACAGATGTAAGAGCCACAGGCCTATTGAGTCCTGTGACACGTGGCTTCTTGGGAACATGGACGATGCTGGAGGACTTGAAACAGGCTGGGATGTGATATGACTCCAGAGAAGAGTTGAAGAAACCTGTGAAGACTGGGGCCAGCTCATCAGCAAAGTGTCTCAGTTTGGAGGGAGGGAGACACACAGTGGCCATGCAGCCTTATGTGGATTTATGCTGCGTTCACACCGAACGCGATTTCAGCTTCAAAATCGCAGCCAACGCTGAAGTTTGAAGCTTGTGCACTTTGAGGTCAGACGCAGGACAGCTSYTGAAGCGCTGCACGGCGACAGCCGCCCCGCCCCTCCCTCCTCTGTCGGGCTCTGTTTAATGTCGGACGAGGAAGTGGCTTTGCTTTATTTACAGAGAGCAAGAG